TCAGGTATCTGCTGGCAGCCCTGTCGGCAGGCCTCACGCGGCAGCAGTAGCACTGGCTTCTTGTCCTGTACATCATCCACCCACCATATCTTCATTCAGTACTTGGTGCCTTGCACAGTGCTGAGTCAGACAGAGTCCCTGACCTCAAGGGGCTACAGACTTGGGGGTCAGGAGACAGACCCATAAACACAGGTGAAAAGGAGAATGCTTGTAGCACAAAGCAGAGAAGGGATTGGCTTTTCCCAGGGAGGGCTTCAAGGAGACATCATTTGTCCTGGACTTTTTTTTTTTTTTAAGAATTATTTTTTAAAATTTAATTTATTTTAATTTGACTAGCGAGGGACAGAGTGAGAGAGAAATGGAAAGTGAGAAAGCAAGCAGCCAGGTGCGGGACTCGAATCGCGGTCAGCCATGTGGGAGTCCAGCGCCCTCAACCACCATGTCACCTGCCAGCTCCTTGGCCTGGACTTTTCTGAATTTCAACAGGCAGAGATGAGGCTCGGACAGTTCAGGCAAAGGGAATAACATACGCAAAGGCTCGAAGGTAGGAAGCTCAGTGTTATGTGCAAGGAGAGGCTAGAGAGGAAAACAGGAGGGTGGGGCTGGGGGCAGGTGCACTGAGTCCCGAAAAGCGAACTGTGGGCTGTCCGGCTGCAAAGGCAAAGCCTGAAATAGCTAGCTTTGACCCGGAAAGCCATGGGAACTACCGAAGGTATTTTCCCTGGAGGGGATGATTACATCTCTTCTAAGGCCACTCTGGTGGCTGCGTGGCAGATGGACCAAAGTGGGTGAGGTGGAGACAGGCCACAGTCCCTGTCCTCCCCGTGTGCCTGGGAGAGGGCACTGTGCAGCAAGTAAGGCCAGGCAGAGAAGTCAGCACCAGGGGCAACGGAAACACCTCTCTCTCAAGGTTTGCTTGGTCAGTCTTCTTACCATGTGGCTGATTCGACAGCAATCGAAAGAGTTAACATTTATTGAGCACTCATAGACCAGGCACTTAAGCGTTTTACACACATTTTTCACTTCCTCCTACAACAATTCTATGAGGTAGGTATTATTAGGATCCCCATTTTATAGATGAGGCCACTGAGACACAAGTTAAGTTTCTTGACCAATGTCCCATAACTAGTAAAGATTTGAACCCCGGGCCACTGGCCTGAAAGCTCATGCGCCCATCATGACATGAACACATACGACCTCCCTGCCTCTCTCCATACCAGCACCCTGCCCTTCTAGTAGATCCCCAGGAGTGGAAGTAGGGCCCAGAGTCACAGCCTAGTGATGCCCAAAGGTTGAGATAGCCAGACAGGCTGGCAGGGCTGGGCCACCTGGAACAGGAGGAAAGCCCCCCTGAGCTGGGGAGGAGGAGCCAGCCTCAAGTCCTTTTGCTGGCCTCCCTGCAGGGTACATGGCACCTCTTCAATGGAGCAGCAGCTGCCAGCCCTGCCCTCCCATCCACCAGCGTGCTCGCTGCCTACCCAGCAAGAACAGCCCAGAATGTAGGTGGTGAAGGGGGCGGCTTTATTGATGACGGAGAAGGCAGAATTCCGGGCAAGCACATGCAGCACTGCTCCAGGAGTCCAGACTTGGGGCGTGCCCCTGGGGACCTCAGGGACCTCGCTCATACCCACCATCCTGAACTTCAACCCCACCTTTTACAGCAACTCCAAGACCCTCCCTCCCCCCACAACCAGGCTCTGGCAGCCACCAGTGAGGAACCAGCACCATAGTCAGGTCTGAGGCCCATCATGGGCACAGAACTCTCCTCAGCCTCTGCTTGGCATGTCACCGTCTGCCACGGCCCAGCCTCCCAGATGGGGGACAAGATGAGAGCAGCCGGTGTGTCAGCCCCAGCCCACCGAGCCCGCACTACAGAAGGCTGGTGTTGGGGCAAAGGGCCAGGGCAGTGGGCCCAGCTCCTCGTCCCTGTGCCTGAGCAAACAGCAAGGCCAAGCCTCCTGCCACCCTGTCCCTGGCCTGAGCCCACCTCTTAGAGGGGAACCCTATCAGCCTCAGCCCATCCCTGTCCCTGTAGGCCCCATGGCCCCAATCTTCCAGCTGGAACTGCCCTCCCTGGCCAGCCAGCCCACTCCTTAGCCCACTGCTTTTTCATGGACGAAGCGGGTCTGGGACCCGATCACAGACATCTCTTGGGGCCACATACATAGAGCAGTAGGGCTCACAAATAGAGACTGTTCTTCCCCAGCCACCTGCCCAGTTTGTGGCTGGTTGACGGCAGGGGTCAGGACTGGCTGAGGACCCAGTTATAGGGCCCTGAAACTCCCACAGCCCCTCACCCCCCAGCAGTATGTGTGTGTGTGTGGGGGGGGGCAGCCAGTCCTAAGCTGGGAGGAGCAGGGACAAAAATAACCTAGTACAGGCTCCTGCTGAGGCCAGAAATAGCAGTGACAAGTGCCTTGCAACACCCTGGGCAGGCAGCAGGGGGAGGCTGAGTCGAGGAGGGTTCGGCCTCACACCAGCCGTTGGCCGTGCCACATCCACTCTACATACCATACCACACTGCCTGTGTGCACGCACATACGTGGGGGCCCGAGGGACCACGGTTCAGGACAAGGAGTCCGGAGAGATGCTAAACCTGGGCTTGGCCTTGGCCACGGCCACGCTGCGCTTGCGCAGGGCCCCACGGGCCGAGAGGGTCAGGGTGTCCAGCAGGCGGGGGTCCTCCTCCAGCTGGCGGGCTGTGCAGAGGGGCGTGGGCACTTTGATGGTGTTGCCAAACTTGGAGTAGTCCACGGAGTAGCGGCCGTCCTCCTCGGCCACGATGGGGACAAAGCGCTGGCCCCAGAGGATCTCGTCGGCCAGGTAGGAGGTGCGGGCCTGGGTGGTGATGCCGGTGGTTTCCACCACGCCTTCCAGGATGACGATGATCTCTAGGTCCTGGTGGTGGTGCAGGTCGCTGGGCGCCAGGTCATAGAGCGGGCTGTTGGCATCGATGACGTGGTAGATGATGAGAGGGGCCACCAGGAAGATGCTGTTGCCACCCACGCCATTCTCCATGGGGATGTCCACCTGGTGGAGGGGCACCACCTCGCCCTCGGGGCTGGTGGTCTTGCGCACCACCTGCATGTGGATGGTGGCGCTGATGATCATGCTCTTGCGGAGGTCACCCACGCGCAGCATGAAGCAGAGGCGGCCGTGGCGCAGCGCTATCACCGCGTGCTTGCTGAAGATGAGGGTCTCGGCCCTGCGGTGCGCCTGCGCCGTCTTCATGAAGATGCAGCCCAGCATGATGGCGTTGATCATGAGCCCCACGATGTTCTGCACAATGAGGATCAGGATGGCCAGCGGACACTCCTCAGTCACCATGCGCCCGCCGAAGCCAATGGTCACCTGGACCTCGATGGAGAAAAGGAAGGCAGATGAAAAGGAGTGGATGCTGGTGACGCAGGGCACCGGGGCACCCTCCCCGGAGGCCAGGTCGCCGTGCGCGAAGGCGATGAGCCACCAGACCATGGCGAAGAGCAGCCAGCTGCACAGGAAGGACATGGTGAAGATGAGCAGCGTGTGTGGCCACTTGAGGTCCACCAGCGTGGTGAACACGTCCTGCAGGAAGCGGCCCTGCTCGCGGATGTTCTTGTGGGCCACGTTGCAGTTGCCTTTCTTGGACACGAAGCGGGCCCTCCGCTCCCGGGCGCGGTACCTGGGCTCTGCGGGGTCCTCCGCCAGGCGGGTCAGCACGTACTCCTCAGGGATGATGCCCTTGCGGGACAGCATGGCTCCGGTAACCTCCGGGGAGGGGCTTCCCCCATGAGGGCGCCCCCCGGACCTGGTCGAGGGCCTCCCCTCCCTGGCACCCTCTCAGCCTGTGCCGACCTCACCTCCACCTGGACCCAGCTCACTTCTTTACACCAGCCTCACTCGGGCCTCCCTGCCATTGTCGCGTGAGCCCCCGAACCGTGCCTACTCTCCACCTGGCCTGAACCCCAGCCCAGCTCTCTCCTACCAGCTGACTACCTTGGCCTCCCCCTGAAGCCCCTTCTCCCCGCTGGGTCTCCCTTCTCAGCCCACTTCGAACTTAACACCTCCGGATCTTACCGGCTCCCCAGCCCTCGCGCAACCTCCGAGTCTCCGCCTCAATCATTTCGGCACCGCTCCCCTGCAAGCTCCAGCTTCCCTTCCAGACGGGCCCCCAGGCTGCCCTCCAGGTATGCCCCTATTCCCACCCCACCCCTTCTTAGTGCTCTCGCTGCGCTTCGGATCTGTCTTCAGCTCGCCCTCCGGGTCTGTCTTCAGCTCGCCCTCCGGGTCTCCTTGGGATCCTGCGCCCTGCGGAGTCGCCCCTCGCAACCCCGGCTCAACTCCGGATCCCTTTGCCCCCAGCGCGACCTGGCCCGGCTTGCTCCGAGTCGCGGCCTCCCGCCGCCCG